GGGTTTAGTGTGTGGATTCTAGTCAATATTGAGAATAGAGACACAAGTAACTCCGTATTGGATTGAAAATGTAAGATGACCTTGCAGAGATATTTGAGAGCAAACATGAATGGAATTTTGAATCTATAATTGTGTTGCTAGGAATTGAAAATGGAGTAATTAATAAATATAAGATTTTGAGATTTAAGAATGAAGCCAAGATTTGGAAGAATAGCATTTGTGAAAGTTTTATTGAAATATTAGTTAAGGAAAGAAGCGGTATATGAATCAAGGAAAAATGAGGTGCGTAGAGTAACGCTTATCTGTTCGAGATATACGGTTAGAGGTTACTCTTACATTTTAAATTCGGACACCGAATTTTTTTTTTTAAGAAGGTAAAGTTGTAATACCCCAAAATTTTTGAGATATTATTAAAATTTAAAAAAAAACTTAAAAAGGGGCTAAATCAAATGGAATCAGGGAATGAGGGCCTAAATCAAACAAAATCAAGGAAACTGGAGACTGAAAGTAAAAAATTTGAAAAATTCGATTTGGGCAAATCCCCAAATCTGCTCATCCAGATCTTGCGGCCATAAGAATTCACACAACTTGGAAACAATCAATTTAAAATCCATAAACTTATGCGTGCAACAATAAAGGAAGGATCAAACCCCTAAAACAATTTAAGGAATTGTTAGCCAAGATCATCAAAATAAAAGAGAAATTCTTCTCGAGCGAAGCACAAACCTCCGACTGGTAAACTGGCAAATTTTTCTTCCAGTGGCTGAATTAGCACACAAAGATTGGTTTGAGCCAGTCACTTACCCATTTGGACTTCCATCGTAGAGGTTAATTTCAAGTTTGAAAGGATTCCAGATATGTTTCAAATTATTTTCAGTTTTGGAATGCAACGAGTTCGGAAGAATAGACCCGGAAGGATCCAAGTCTGCATGTAAACCCGCCCAACGAGCCGGGATTGGAACTTATTTGATTCAGGCTAAGCAATTTGATTATGGGCCAAATAAACATTGGCCAAGGAGTAGGCTTGAATAACTAAATGGACAATGGGTTAAGGTTAGAAAACAATGCAGGCAGGGCCCATACAGGACTCAGGCCCCTAGATTGGGTTGGTAGAATCGGGTTGGGCTTCAACCAAAACAGATTTGGATGATCCAGATTAGGAAAAAAAAAGAAAGAAAAAAAAAGAGAGAAATTAGGAAATTATAAAGGCAATTGGTTCACATAGATTTTAACCGGTTCTCTTCCAGTTCATGGGTAAATTAATTAGATAATTAATTAAATTAACTGGTTTAATTCCGATTCAATAAAAATAATACTATTTTAAGCCCGATTCAAGGGAAATTATGCATAAAAACTGGCTGATTTAGCATATATGGGACCGTTTCAGTGACTTTTAAGGTCGGTTTAGTGAGATAGAAATTGATATATGGTCAGTTCATTGATTTAAAGGCTGGTTCAACCTCCTAACAGCCGGTTCAATCCTCTAGTGGCTAGTTTATGACTGGTTCAGCATATTAAATGATAATTTTGGATAAAAAATTGGTTTTTTATGTTTTATAAGATTGGTTCATGACTTTGGCACTCAGTTTATGACTTGTTTAACCAATTCAGACTTTTGTGGCCTTAGTATGAATTCGGACACGAAAATCTAGAATTTTAATCATGATTTTAACTAAAAAATTTCATTTATACGATTATTGGATATATTAGAGACATAAATTAAGACATTTTTATGATTTTATGATTTTAGATTGTTTGTACAGTTCTTGTTGAGCCTGAGTTGCCAAAGATCAGATTTATCCATTTTCATTGTTCTGTAAGTAATAATATGCATTTATGAGCGTTTGCAGTTTTCTATATTTGTTATAAAATCTGATTTTAAATGATATATCTAATTTCTGAAAATTTGATTAAATTCTATTTTAAAAGTGAAACAAGGGACAATGTATGAAATTTCTTAAATTATTTGGAAATAAATATTTGTTAATTATGTTTGACTCTATACATGGAAAACTATGTTAAACTGATTTTGTGTGATTCTCGAAAATTTCTGTTAAATGGCTTTTGTTTATTCTGAAAAATGGAAAGTTTTGCTAAATTGTTTTGATATTTCTAGAAAATCGTCTTTTTAAGGAGTTTTGGATTCTAGAATACTCCAGTTAACGGTAGTATGCGTTAGACTAAATACACCCTATACAAATCCCTATTTGGTAGAGCTGATGGTGCTAAACTTTTTGATTTCTGTTTATCAATGTTAGACTGATTTGCACCCTGTATAAATCATCGTCTAGTAAGAGAGATGGTGCTAGGCATTTTGATTTTTATTTATTGACATGATTGATATGTTGCCGTTCTAATATCTAGTATGAATGATATGTTACCGTTCTATTATATGGGCAGATTGTGTGTCGTCGTTCCGATTATTACATATCTATATGAGTATACGAGAATGCCACTTTCTGGTTTTCCGTTATCTGGTAGATTGTGTGTCGTCGTTCTGATTATCGGCAGACTGATATGTCACCATCCTAATTACTAGCTAACTGTGTGTCGCTGTCCTATTTCTGATATATGTTACGTTCTAGATTACGAACTCCCTAAAATATTTAAGATCTATAAATGACTTGTTACACTGAAAAGATTTGATATCTATACATGACTTGTTATATTGAAGATTTTTCTTGATATCTGTAAATGATTTGTTATACAGAAAAATTTCTGCTATCTGTAAATGATTTGTTAATCTGAAAGGCATCTGATATTTGTAAATGATTTGTTAATCTGAAAGTTTCTAATATCTATTAATGGTTTGTTATGCGATAAAGTTTCCGAAAAATGTAAAAGATTTGTTAAATGGTAAAATATTTTGATTTTACATGTACATGTTTTTTGTTCTCATAAATGCATATTATTATTTATTGGGTCTATAGACTCACCTATTTTTTTTAGATTTAGAGTTCAGTATTCGATGGGATTTCTACTGCTTAAGTGGAATTTTTTATTTTTGTTTTTTGTTCTTAGTTAAGAAAAGTTAGTTATTTCAGTTTTATCATATTTTATATTTCTAAATTTTATAGATAACTCTATTTGACTATAAACAGATTTTTGTGAATAAATTGACAGTTTAATTAAGATTTTGGGCACGATTTTGTTTTTGATTGTATATGAGATTTTGGTTTAATTATATGTTAGACTTGCGGATTTGGAATTTATTCTAACTCTTGTACCAATCACGGGTCCATTTTCCAGGTCGTGACATCTCCCAAGTTTCATATGATTTAAGTTTTAGTCCTTTAATGTTACTGGGTATTGTACTTTGGTCCTTAAAGTTTTTATGTATTCTGGTTAGACTCGTAAAATTTTTATTTTTTCAATTATGCCCTAAATTGAAATGTTGGGTTATTACTATACATCACTATAACTTATTATTACCCATCAAGTGCCAAAATTTAAATTATTAATTCAAAATTAGATGATAATCACATGTAGCAAATATAAAGAATTTAGGGTCAATTTTACTTAAACTTTAATAAATATAGAACAGTTATTATATTATATTATCCATAAAGTATCAAAAATAATTAAATAATTTAAATTTAAATATTTTATATTAATATAAATTTAATAAATTACTAACGCAGTGCCTCTCACACTGTTACAAGAGGCGTGTCTCTAACTCAAGGCTTAATCGTCCCCCTTCACCGGACCTTTTTCTAATTCAAAAGTTGCATGTTTCAAACTGCAAAAGTGAATTCAAAATGCTGGTCCAATTTAAAGTGAATCGCTAGAGTGTTGCTCTTTTTCAACCATTCCAATTCAATTCAATCTAACCATCTGAATGTTACGCATTTCCATGAGAACCGCCCACTGCGCTTATGGGCCCCCACCATTTTCTATTCAAAATACAGTCTCTTTTGGGTAAAATTTGGGATGCACATGTACAAATTAAACAGTCCTGCCGCGATAAAATTCAAAGAGTCCAGTCCAAATTATCTTGCTTAAAGTAATTAAAAGTTACTTGAATAATTAAATTTTTTAAAAATAAAGATATTATATAAAATTAAAATTTATAATAGATATAAAAAATAATAAATATTTATATATATACATTATTACTCACTAAATTGACAATAATCGAGAAATTTGAATCTCATCAACATAAAATCAATAAGAACTATATGAATAATTTAAAATAATAAAAATAATTCATTTTAAATTTCTAATACATCTAAAAATTAATTAAATATAATTTTTTAATTAAAAATCAAGTAAAATTCTAAATTTTCGTATCCAATCCAAACCCAATGGTCTTCTCCTGAATGTCAAGAACTTTTTCAGTGGCAACGATTGTGTAGTCATACCTACAATGACCATATCAACATAGTTCTCCCGTTGTATGACCATGGAAAAAAACACCATTTTTGAAGGTTTATATAAATCACATTTTCATTTCTTTATCCAATTTTAACAAATTGTTATAGGGACAAGTATTAGTTTTCATTGGTAAAAGATGAAACTAATCCAAGGAATGTATTTGATCATGTGCAGCTCATGCGATTATATTTTTTCAATTTTATCGATTTGGTGAAGGAAAGGGCCAAATTGATACCTTCTTTAGTGAAATGGGTCGAATAGTAGAGAAAAAGAGTTCGAGGAGTCAATTTGCTATTTGTTTAGTTATTTAATTAAGGGGGTTTGAAATACTTTACCGACAATTCCAGCAACCATTGTTAGGATTCACTTCGCATGTTATTACTACTGAAGTTTCTTGCCTCCTATTGGACCTGCGCCACAATCATAGAAATGCAAAGAAAAAATGGGAAGCCATTAAGTTTCATCAAGGAGTTATTGAATAGGTCTAAATGTAGTGGCATAATAAACAATAAAGAAAAAACTAGCATGTGGAACCCACAATAAACAACAGAAAAAAAACTAGCAGGTGGAACCCAAATCAGACAGTCAAAAACAACCACCAAGTTTTTCCAATCAATTTTGACTTTTTAAGAAACGTTGTCAATAACTGCCTCGATAAACCGCCCCAAATATGCGTGAGATGATCCGCCCTCCTTCATGGCGGTCCTGCTCTTCTTGCTCATTTCCTTCACCCTCTCCCTGATTTCCACACTCTCGTTTCCCTCCATTAGTCGCCTTATCCCGTTCTCTATCTCCTCCGCCGTCACTAACACCGGCGGCTCCTCCCCCTTGTAAAATTCCTTATCGTAGTCGAGCTTAATCTCCACCGCCAATCCAAATTCCTTCACCATCAGAAACGCATTCATGGGCTGCTCCGCGTATAATGGCCACGTTGCGACTGGCACACCGCACCACAAGCTCTCCAGCGTTGAGTTCCATCCACAGTGCGACACAAAACCCTTCACGGCAGGATGTGATAATACCGCCACCTGTGGGGCCCACCCTATCACTTTCCCAATCTCAGCCGTTCGTTCCATGAACCCTTCTGGGAGGATTTCGTTTGGATTTTCGTACTCCCTTGGCACCTCAATTTTCCCCTTTGCCGGCGGCCTTCTTAAGGACCACAAGAAACGATGACCGGCGCGTTCCAGCGCATGGGCTATCTCCTTCACCTGATCCTCCTCGAAGCTACCCCTGCTACCGAAGCACAGAAACAACACTGACGAGGGGGGTTGATCATCCAACCAAGTCATTATTGCTTCTTCTGAGTTTTTTGTTGGCGAGGTTCACGATGGGCCCCACTGGATAAACACAGCGGAACTGTGTGGTCGTCGCGGAGAGACTTAACCGCATGAGATTCTAGTTCCTCGAACGTGTTGATCAAGATTCCTTTAGTTTTCTTCACCTTAATCGCAATAGTATTGAACATGGCCAACCCGCCGTTTTCCTTGTCGAACACCACCGCGGGCAGGACCTTAGTGGGCAACGGTTGGAGAAAGCAGGAACTGACAGCTCAATGTCTGAGTCCTTAAATTCGGCCAAGTCTTTACCGAAATCCTCCTGAAGAGTGTAGAGATGGAACATGAGACCAAGAAAGGCAGCGCCGGAGGTGAAGAAGGAGTAAGCCGTAACACCGAATTCATCGGCCACTTCCATCATGGAGGTGCAGAGCATGTCGAGCACGAACCCGGCAAGTTGAGTTGAACTCAGAATATTCGGATATTAATTGTGACACCGCGTTTCTGACGTGGGGCTTCTGGAGCTCGATGAATTCGGTAAAGAAGCCGGGTCCTCTCTTGGAGAATCTTTCCATCATGGAGTCGTCATTGGGAAGATTGACAAAACGGATCCTTTGGGGACTGACGTTTCGGGTTTATAAGGTTTGGTCTCGAAGGGGAAGTGCATAAGGAGGACGGTGATGGAGAGGCGTTGGTCTCGGCTGGCGAGGAGCTTCGCGATCTCCAGCGCCGACAAAAGGTGACCGGCGACGGGGAAAGGGATAAACACCAGCTCTGCTGTTTTCATCTTTTTGATTTCTTCTGTTGGGTTTCTCTGGTCTGTAAAGTACAAGCTGCTGGAGCTATCTCTGAAGGATGTGTGTAAGGCTATGAGTTGACGTGTTGTGACTGGCTTCCGCTGCGTTGGCTTGCTTTTGTAAATTATGACTAAACGACGCAAGGACCTGTTCTGCATATGTGATCAGCACGGAACCAGCAGTCTTTTCTTTTCTGTATTTAGCTTTAAAAAAATGTTTCCAGAATATCAAAATTAAGTGGCCGGTATTCATTAGCGTAACAATACTGACTTTACTTTTCTATTATGTGGATATATATATATATATATATATACACGCGCGCGCGCGGATACATATGGTTTGATTTGTATAATTTATTTATTCTTTATTATCGTGTAATAATGGACGAAATAGAAAGCTTTTTGGCCTGAAATTGGGATTTAATAACATCTTCGTGAAACATGTTAAAGAATCTAGAATTCATAAAATTATTATTTATCTTAATATTAAACTAATAAAAACATAAACATCATTGGTGATAGGAGAGGTGAGCAACTGCGTGATACTCTGAATAAAATAAAATAAAAACAAATTAAAATTCTGGACAACGTATTTATAATAATATTTAAAATTATTATATGTTATTTGTTATATTTTAACTTAAATATGAATAAAATAAATAAATATATAAATTGTTAGAATAATTTTTCTTGATGATAGTCGGCGGCAGGCAGGCGTAGTTTAATAATTTAGATTATAATTCATAAATATAATATTATTTAAAGAAATAACACAAAAATTTAATAAAATTATTTTATTCATATTATTGTTTATATAGGTTTGTTGAATAAATATTTAACTTACTCCTGTATCGTCTAAATTTTTAACCAATTTTTTTATCTAATCTTTAAAATATTAAATAATAATAAATAATTTATCTTTATCCTTTTTTTATTCAGCTTGCTAACGTGCTCCCAGTGGTTGAGAAGAGATAAAAAATTGTTTTAAACTTTCGAGATGTTTAATTTAAAAAAATTAAATGAAATTTCAAGACATTTTAGAACGTTAAAATATTATTGAAATGGAGAATTCTAGCCCTCTGCAATGGGATATATTATCCGATAGGCCCAGTTATCCGGTATGCCCAGTTTCGAGCCACGATTTGGCGACATTATAGTCTGTCCAAAAGTGCGAATAATGACGTTACTACTGCTTTGCTGGCAGGGCGCATCCGGCAAATATTTCAACGTAGCGTGTATCTGGCTTGCGCACGCTAAGACCCTCCTTTGCTTAGAGCTTATTTGGCACGCATAATAAGCTAAGGTACACTAAATTTATTCTATTTGATCATGTATTTAAATTATGTCTAATAATTTATAATATATATATATTAATATACGTAAATATCTTTTCATAGGTGATTAATTTTGATAAAATTTATTAGCGTTTAAATTTTTACATTTAGACACAAATACCCTTATATAATGCCCAAATTTCTCTCAAACTAGTCTTTCTTTTACTAATCTCTACCTACATTTTCTCCTCCTACCGATCTTTGACTGCAGTTTCAGCTCAGCTTCCAATGACGAGTTGACGACCACGACCACGGTGTTGTCGGGCCACTAGATGAATTTGGGCATGAGGTAAAACTTTGTCTTCCAAAAAATCTGGCCTATTCACCTCCTTCCCCCCACGCCTTTGACCGATTCTTCACCCAAAGCCAATGCTGCCCCTCACTAGACCCACCGTCGAAAGTTGAAGATTCATTTCCCGGTGAGTTCATTTGGCTGGAATCTGTTCGATCTCCTCCAAATCAGAGGTAAGCCCTTGAAAAAAGCTGTTAAAGTACTGGTCCATGTTTTGAGCCATTGTCGTCAGCTTCTGTCAGGGCTTGCCGCCGTTGCTATTGGCGTCCGTCCGTCCAAAATGGGGTTGTCCTTTCGTAGGTGCTTGCCGCCATTGCTATTGTCATCGTCCTCTAGTTCCTTCAGCTCGTGCTAGAGGCGGGCACTCCAACGGAGCTCTAGTTTTTTTTTTATCCATATTATAATAGAGGGCATTTTAATAAATTTAAAATTTTATCCTACTAATCAAAATTTTTATCCTATTTGTTATCTATTCAACACCGAACGTGTGATAAAACTATTTAATTTAGATAAATTTATCCTACTTTATCCTATCACTCTATATCCTATGTTCCCATTCGAACACCCCCTTATATGATAAAGTGTGATAGAATTATATTATTTATACAACAATTTTATTGTTAAAAAAAAGTAAAAATAATATTATTAAATTTTTTTTATTATTTTAAATAAATTTTTTTATACTTATCAAATTTTGATAATTTTATGTTGATTCAATTGATAAAATTAGATAATATCATATACCCAAATTTTTTATCCTAACCATTTATAAAATTACTTAATATGTGTAAAAAAGTGATAAAATAGAATAAATTTATTTTATTTTACCTTATCAGTTCAAGCGAACGACCCTTAAAATTTATTATAAGATATTACTAGTAAACATCCAGACGACAACTTTTGCTTGGTTGGCAAGGCGTTTGAGTTGACTTTTTCGTTGACTATATATTTGTTTCATGGCGGATAATTTTATTTTTTTTAATAATAAGGTCTAAATAACTTACATGGCATATATTTTATAAATATTTTGTATTGTATATTTATTTTGCCGTTACCAAAAAAGAAGATATTGTTAATATCAAAATTTCATATTAATTTACTAATAACAAAATAAATTAAAATTTTATATGTATATATATTTATAACAAACAAGTCAATATTGTTAAATATAGATAGTTCATATTATTGAGTTTGTAATTCAAAAAAATATACACTACATGTTATATCAAAAAGTGAAATTGTCAAATTAAATATATATATATATATATATAGTAAATTGATATCTTATTATATAAAACTCTACAAATAGCAAGTTTAATTTTATATAAAAGTATACTCAAATACCTTTATTAAAATAGTTTTTTATATCAATCTTATATATTATTTTCTATAAAATTCATTATTAAATTTACACCATATAAGTTTTAAATAGTAAAATACATTTTATAGTGCTACTAAAATTTCAATTTTATTGTCACGACCTAGGAGTCGGATTCGTGACTCGCGTTAGGATTAACATAATCCCAACTCTGCAAGCCTCACATGATCAGAATTATTACAGAACTAATTAAAACTCCACTTAATACAACATTGCAAAATCTGATAGAAACTTTTGAAATTGAATACAAATATAAACATCTGTATATCCTATATGTGATCACTAAGCGAACTAAAACAAAATACACACAAAAAAGAAAAACAAAGACTAACTACTATACTCAGAAATCAAATCAGCTGGAATAACGAAATTGGGATCGGTAAACGACTCTCACGGAGCAGGATCAGTCAGGAGCATAGAACATGAGTTTAGAAAAATAAAAAGGATGAGTCTGACAATTCAGTAAATAGTAATACATATTTACATGATAAGGGACATATATTTTATACTATTATTATCAAAACATAAATTGTCACGTATACATATTAAAACATTCAAAACAGAAAATTGAACGAAAATAGGACGGCAATGAGACGGCAACATCGTGGTCTACTGTAACAAATATAGCGAGATGGTAATCTTGTGGTCTGCTGTAACACATAACAGGATAGCAACGTCGTGGTTTTGCCGTAACACATAACAGGATGGCAACCTTGTGGCCTACCATAATCAAGAAACAGGCATCAGTTTATAGAATTTCAATATTGCAAACATAGCAGTAACCAAAATTGATAGTTTAGGAAATTTTTAAAACAATTCAAAAAATGTCATATACGTCTTTCGTAACTTTTTATAACATATAAAATTTCAATTTAAAAATAATTGAATTTATAAACAATTTATGTAAAACTCATCATTTAACAAATACAAAAAATAACGAAACATATAAATACATATTCCTACTCACAGACACTAGAGAACCACAAAACTCGAGTTTCGGCACTTTGGCTTCACAGAGTCGATTACTCAATCTAAAAATAACCAAAATTCTTATTGGAAAATATAATTCATCTCATAATTAACTTAAATTCAAACTCCCATCAAAACCTTACTATTTTCTTAGGTTTTCGTGTTCAAACTTATATCAGGAATTCTTAAAGTCCTGAACCATTCACATAATTCATATCCTAAGTATTAAATTCTTGAACCGGGCTC